GCTTTACTTAAAAAGGACCTGGTCACTCTTAAACGTGTCCTCCAAATGCTCTCTTCAGCTGCTGGTGTTTCCTATGTTTTTTATGCTGACATTATAGTACAGCGCCACTTTAAAACGGTCAAGCAATTCGCTGATCGCTCACCCTCTCCGCTCTGAACTAATGGCTACGAAGTCTTCCCGTAAAATGCGCCGAGACTTCGTTCATTTGTCTTGTCGCACATCGGCATATCAGCACTCTGTTCTCACATTCCCAGCAAGCTACCTCACGTGCAAAGAAGCGGAAATTGAGAAGTTGAAAACTGACCTGTCTCCTTAGTAGATGCGGATATCGTGTTAAGCTTTAATTTTGAGTATTACATGACCTTTTACCTTTTGCCATGACTCCTTATTTATCTTATCCTTTCATCTCCGTGAATGGAGCCATTTTGCTGACAATTCAGGATTTTCAATTCTAAATATAGCATTCTCCTGTCTCTCTCTATGCTACCATCATTTATGATGGATGATTCCCGACGGAATGCTTAACTTCAGAAAAATTAAAACTCTGATTCCAGTGATCACAACGTCTTCTTTTTATGACGATCAAGGCTGCTAAGTTAAAGCCTAAACTGCATTCTGGCATATGGCTTCAACTCCAGCAAAGTGTGTTTCTTCGACTTATTATAATTAGGATTTGTGAGAGTTTTAACCGTTCTTTATATTTAGGTAACCTTTATTGGGTTAAATGTTATATACATAGTTCCATTATTGGATTACGGTTAGTTTATAATCGTCTTCAAATTCCGGCAAGCACTCAATCGCTTTTAGTGTTTCAGGCTTTCTTCTATAAATCCTTATTATGTTTAAAGTTAATATTTAAGCCTTTAGATATTTATTAGAAATTTTTGCGAGCACATCACGTTTTGCATATTAGTTTTAATTGAGATGAAAAAGTGTGCCCTATTTATAAACTCGCCAGCAAAAAAAACGTCTGAAGCAGAAGTTAAACATGGCTATGCCTAAGGTTAATTGAAGAAAAACCTTTTGTAATAGGTTCCCTCTTTACAAAAGCACCTGTGCATGTGAACATTTTACAAGTTATATTCAAAGTGAAAATAGAGGATTTCAAACAGATTCTTAATTCAAAGGACTATTTAGTGAGCATACGTAGCTTTCAATGAATTCTCCTCGGAAAATTACATTTATATAGAAGGAAGTAAAAGGTTACATGCGGACACTTGTGTCCATCATTAAAATTAAATAAGTCATGGGAATAGGGTTGGGAGTTTGGGTTTGATAGTATTCAGATGGTTAGAAGGCAATGAGAGCTTGTTGAATCCAGACAGGGGGAGGATGGAAGGGGATGAAAGCGCGGAAAGCTGCAGGCAGTAATGTGAGCGCTGGCCATGCCAAGCTTGGAGCTTGCAAGAGGTTATTATGCGCAAACAAAACCGGATCGTGTTTGATTCTGCTGTCGCTAGCAGAAGCTGATCCAGGGACTTTGGCTGGTTTGGCGGGACCTTATAAATTAGCTTGTAGACTTCGTTGGGATCCACACGATATCCGGGGTCATCCATGCGGGCAAGGATGGCTCTTCGCTCATCCGTATTCTTTTGGATAAGCCTTGACTTGTGCGACCAATATAACCTGCTCCACAGGAGCAAGTTAATGAGTAGATGCACATATAACTGCTCTCAGATTGCAGCCTATCCTTATGTTTGCAGTGCAGGATGGGGTTAGTTGAGAATAAAACCGATTCGTAATTTGTTTGAAAGTGAATAATAGCAACGGGGCTGGCAATGAAAGAGCGCACTGTTCTTTTTATGCTGGAATATGTATTTTACAAAGCGAAATATTTTCAGTTCCCGTTTGGAGATTGCGGATGCAAAAAAGAATGGCCGAGTTTATGCTTATATTTTCAAGAATTGTTACTGTTCTGTCTGTTTCGTTTCTGAATTAGGCATACGCCGAAATTATGTTGCCAAAACCCGTGCTTTAGATTTAATGAGATTACTATTCACTTTCATTTCGCATTAATAAGCAATAATTTGTTTTTTTAGATATTTTTGCCAATATTTGAATGCTGAGTCGCGAAGCGCAGTGAAAGGTTTTGAACGCATGTTAATCTACCACATCAAGCATTTGGAAAGGTAGCCAAAACTGCATATATAATGCGAAATGAAAGTGAATAGTAATCTCATTAAATCTAAAGCACGGGTTTTGGCAACATAATTTCGGCGTATGCAGTTTTGGCTACCTTTCCAAATGCTTGATGTGGTATATTAACATGCGTTCAAAACCTTTAACTGCGCTTCGCGACTCAGCATTCTGATATTGGCAAAAATATCTAAAAAAAACCTAATTATTGCTAATTTATGAAGAGCAGGGCGGTTCTTTGAACTTGGCTTCATCTATATTGGGGTTCTCCTAAAGCACAACACAGAGTATGGTTCTGCCCTATTTAATAGACTAGGAATTATAACGAGCTATTTGCCTTAATACGAGGCTCTTATCAGAATAGAACCCATTCCTTAGATCAAAATAGCGTGACAAGATGTACGCTCAACCACCGAGTCTTTTTTTGAAGATGCAGTCTCCCGTTTTGAAAAAAAATTTCCAAGACTGTTTTTGCTGTTCATTTGTACACGCGTAAAATACTTCAGACATTTAATATTCAAAATTGAGTAAAAGTGAAGTTAAAAGCTTCTAGAAATTTCGGAAGAAAAATATGCCGCCCTTTACACTTCAGATAATATATGACCCTAACTATGGGTAGAAGATTTACTTCTGAAATGTATCAAGTCTTTATAAACATTAACTGGATGATATGAACCAGCGACCTAATTAGCCATATTGCACAGGGAATTTTGTCATTGCGATCTTTCATTGCGCGCTTTGAACAAATAAGCTATACCAATTAATCACAGAATGGATGGCTTAACTAGTGGGCCGCCGCGACCACAAACAATGGCTTCGGCTCGAACAAAAGGCGACGTTATCAGACATT